CTTGAAATAATCTCAAAAAAGTGATATTTTTCCACTTTTTCTGACCTTGTTTTGACCTTGAAAATGACCTAGTCGGCGATTTTCATTATCATATTCGTAATCAGCGCGCCAAACTACATAAAATAGTGGAGTTTCAAAACAATCGGGCGTTTCACCTATTCGGAACTGCACCCAAAAATTATGCTGACATAACACAGTACTTTGTAAAATATACATATTGCCATATAAAAAGATTTTATTTAATATTTCTAATCTAAATGTAATAGATTTTGTACATAATCATATTAATGACAATAATATATTTATTTATTAAATTAGAATAAGAGTTATCCAAATAAGCAGTCGATTGCAAACATAAAAATAAAAATTTTCTTTTTTACAATTTAGTTAATTCAGAGAATACCTGTAATATTGATGATAGTGTAAGATGTGTACAATAAACTCATTACTATTTCCTCATGAATCTTCCGATACCAAGTTTTTAATATACATATATATTGCTAATAGATTTTTTTCTTTAACAAATTGAATTTACTGTCTCCTTTCTCTCTATATTTAACCGTTTCACCACCACTTTAGCACCTTCTGTGATGTCCTGAATAAATTTTAACATTTCTATGCGTATATTGTTATTTTTAGTATCGTTGAGATTGTTCAGAGATCTTCGTCTTTGTCTAAGACATCTCTGCTGAATAGCATTGTCTTTGTTATGTACATGCAGCAAATCATAATAAAAGTCGTCTGTGATATCTTGCAATTTTCTCGGTGAGCCATGCTTTGACGATGAATTTCTTCGTGAAGTGTGTTGATGAATATCATTGTTTTTTTCTTGTATGTTCTTCGCACATGTAGCAGTCTCTTGAATATTCTTATTAATCGTTATACAGGATTTGTTCTTCTTGCTTTTCATTCCTTCAGAATCTGCTAACTTGATGAACGACGAATTATTCGCAGTGTGTGAATTTATGCATTTATTATCCGATGAAACTGTATCGGAAATTACATTTCCCGTTAATGTCATAGTATTTTGCTGTTTACATTCTTCATTGTTGGTTGTTGAGGAAAATCGACGTTTTCTGTACGTATGTACAATGTTTTGCAAAGCCAGCGGTATTTGTTCAACGGTGATAACTTTATCAGAAATTATTCTTGGAAGCTTTGCCTTCTGTCGAGACAATTTATCCGAGTCTGCAGACTGCTCAGAAATTGTAGAAATCTCTTTGCTAGTCATTTTACTTGGACTTGATGATGAACAGAACGATGGCAGAGAACTGTGTCTCTTTATAGATGTATCACATTTACCTGACCGTTTAATATTTGTATCATTCATCAGTAAGTCTTTATTTTGCAAACCTGCATTTGTTTTGTCAGATGAAAATATTGAAGATTGAAGAAAAATGTTGGAAATATCCTCTTCTTCTTTTTCCATTTCGCTTATATTATATTTATTTTTCCTATTTTGTTCATTGCCACTTTGCCATTCTATCAATTGGTTGCTTTTTTCAACAGTGTTTCCGCTTACTGAGCAACTGTCGCCATTCTTAATATTAGAGGAGAAATACTGCCATCGGGATTTATATGGAGTTAAATAACTCATAGTGTTAAGATTATCGTAACTAGGAACACTTGATTTATCCAGTCTTTTATCTATAAAATTAACATCTAAATTATGTATAGAATTATTATTAAGAATATTAAACGATGATGAATACACATTACCGTTAATCGCATTACTAATTTTACGATGTTTGTTCTTATCATGTGAGGAATCGATCATAGTCACCAGGTTTTCCAGTCGCAGTAAGCTTGAATTTAGCAAACACTTTTCTCCAGCTTTTGTTTCAACTTTCTCAGAATTTTCTAATACTTCATCCACTTCTAATTTAGTTTTTTGTTCAATGACGGCTATGCTATCCTGATCTTGTCGTATAGTGAACATTAAACCTTCCATTACTAAATCAGTAATGTTAGAGGAACGCAAGACCTTGTCTTCAGGTATTGTCTTTTTCTCAAATTCCCTACCTTTTTGTTTATGAGCTTTGTACCACTTATTGTGTGCATTATTTTGCAATTGATTATTGTGAGCGTTCATTGACATTCTAATGTGTTGATTATCATTTCTTTGAGATTTTATGACAGGCATCTTATCATAATGCTCTTTCTCATTTTCTGCTTGTATGGATTTCACATTATTTTCTCTCATTTTTGTAACTAAATCTTTATTTATATTCTTTACTTCAGTTTCCAAATTCGTTTGCATATGCTGATCACATGTAGCTGAAAACATGTTTAATCTTGTGTTGCGCTTTGCATTCTCAATCTCTTTCTTGATAAAACATTGATGTGGTACATTGTTAGAATCTACAATAGTTTCATTTGTCATCTTTTTGTTATCTAAACCATCTTTATTAGTGACAGTACTATCTTCCTCAATTAAATTTTTATCAAAACTAAATTTATTTGATACTGACAATTTATCGACACTATCATTTATTATTCCTGTGACAGAAAATTTCAATGAAGAAAATATTTTGCACGTTGGAATATCTTGTATTTCCTGATCTTGTTTCTGTATTGCTACCGATTTTGAATTTTTGTCTATATTACTCGTCTTAATTTTATTTGTTTTCTCTGTTGCTCTTAAGGATTCTTCTTGTGTAGAATTGATAGCATGTTGCTCCATGCCTCTCTCATAATTTGTCGTACTATAAGATTTATTTTCATATATCATATTATCACGCAGTTTTGTATTAAGCTCATTAACATGGTATGTTTCGGTAGGTACATTTTTAATTTTTGCATCCAGATTATCATGAAAGTTTATAGAATTTTGTATGTTATTATCTTGGAGATTAGAATTTACTATCAGTTTTGATGCTTTATTCAACGTATCGTCATTAAATTTTGAAATATGATCTTTCTTGTTTTGACACAATGAAATTTTTTTTGAAGAGAACTTCTCAGTAGCACATATTACAGTTTTACTACCTTTCTTTTCGGTATCTGCGTCGTCGACTTTTGGATATTTTAAATCAAACAACAAGGATTCTGACGAAGAGCAAATACTTATAGTTAACACAAATGCATATGAAAATGCTGCAGCATTAGTCCGTTGCTGGAACTTTAGTATTGCAAACATTTTGTCTTGGCGGGTCCAAGATGTACAATCTGCATTTTTGTATTGCATCAGAGTAAAGAAATTTATAGATTTAGAGCTATAATCACTTATTTATCAACAACAGGATATTAGTAATAACAAAAAAAGGATACTATAAGTAACAAGAAGATGCTGTGTACTAAACTGCTGGCCTTGGGTTGGATGGCACTTTATAATCCTTCGAATAATTTTTAATAATTCTCGACCATATAAAAATTCCACAGTATTCCTGAAAACATATATAATTGAAATCTGTGCAAACCAGTAGCAATGCCAATGTCTTACCTTATTGTACGATGATATCTAAAGATAAATTTGTATATATTCTTCTTATGACATAGCCAATAAGAACCAGGAATGGTTAAGAGAGATTCTTTCTCTGAGTCGAGCCAATCGAAATGACTAAACGCCCGTAAATGTATTCCAGGCATTTTCTTTCAGGTAATAAATCTTGAAATAATGGAACTAATCTTTTTGAATCCTGTCTGATTCCAACTGATTCTCTTACGATAAATGTAAGATAATAAAGCACTCGTTGCTAAAATTATTAATTTACAAGTTAGAATTATTTTATTTCTTCTTTTATGTTAATAAATAAATATAAACTTACTCCTTTTATAACTTCATTGATAAATACATCTTCTACTATGTCCCATGGTAAAAATTCTGTAGATGTAAAAATGCCAAGTCCCCCTTTACTTTCAATGTGTACACCCACTGATTCTACGACTAATAACTTATCTGTAAAATAATATAAAAATTAACAAACTATACAAATTCTCCATTCTTAAGAAATAAACATCAAATTATTTTATTGTAAAAACAAAAATTTACCTTGTTTCATAGAAGTAATAAACAACTTACATTGCAGTATTAAAATACAGACCGATATTATAAATAGAATTAAGATTTTAGACAAGATCCATGTAAAGAAGGTTGTGCAGAATAACACTAAATACAAATTGAAATTGAAATGTTTCTTGCTTCGCAATGCTAAATTTATGATATTGTCACTTAAACCTTCTTTCTCTTCTAGTATCAGATGTTCCCCATTTACGCTTCTGAAGAATACTTCAGTGGGATGCGCTTGTGATTGAGAATTTGACGACATCAATGACGATTCTGTATATAAAAATTGTATTAATCTTCTCTAATTAAATTTAACACAAGTAATAAAGAGCAGCTTAAGAAAAATTTTGCTGTATTGTTTCAATAATATATACTGTCACATTTATACAAATATACTTACTGCTTGTTTCTTTTAGTCATATGCAAAGTGGTTAAATGCAATGATAAGCATTTATAACATCGAGTCCGCATTCTCTTTAAAATTTGAATAATCGTTGAACGAGTATTAATGTGTGACTTGTCCTTTTAATGATAACAGAGTTATAAAAATTACACGTGCATATACTAGTCAAGATGTGTACACATTAAGATTAAACAAGCCCACAACTTAGAAACAGAATTAGCATAGACAAGAAATACACATATTTATCATAGACAAGAAATTATTTTGTCTACAGTATTAACTCAAGTTATTCTCTATTTTATCTCAATTGGACGTACGATACATTAGTATATGCATATCTAATGTAAATATTTAAGACGGACAGAGGACAAAAATATATTGCTCCCTGTTTCTACGCTCACGATTTAAAGCTGTTTTTATGAACATCTAGGTTCACGCCTTGTGCGAAATTCATACCTGCCTCGTTATCCGACAGCTATCTATAAATTTCTAAATAATATATTTTCTGGAAAAAATCCCTAAAAAGTACGTTTTCCTACTGAACATTGGACGCATTTAGCTGAACAACCCGTTCAGTAGCAATTGAACGTGATTGGCTCTTACTTTTAGAACCAACAAATCAACAGCGTCATTCAGTGGAAAATCTAATACCTTTGCCCAACTGTTGAGTCCGCTGAATGCTACCAATGCTTAACGTCTCGTACATAGAATATTTTGTACGAACGCAATATGAATCTACCATTAATAATAAAAGTGCAGAATGAGTAATCAACTTTTAAAAATGAATTTGATCGATAAATCGATAAGTATATATTAATCACAGGTATTATTTAACGTAGTACAATATATATATCCATACAATATATATATCCATCCGTTTGACATTAGGTGCGTTCAGAAAACAAAACGGTTGTGTGAGCGCTCATCGCCATTGGAGTATTCTATCAGATCTTTTAGAACCAACAAATCAACGTCGAGTGTTGACAAGCATACACAACAGTTGTGCAATTGTTGTGTTTTCTGAACGCACCCATTATTCGCTGACGAATAGTGAAAAGCGGGAATTCGGCGGGAGACTAGAAGTCGTGTTCTGTGTCCGAGTGGCTCAGTTGCCGTCCGATAGTGGGAGTGAAACAGCACCAGCTGCCATTCTGGCATTACGTCAATGGTGGAGGTCTTATTCGTTGGTTGGGAGGAGTTGCCACTGACCGCCATTGTTACAGCTCCTTCGTCGTATTTCGGAACGTGAAATTCGCGATTTGTTCGCGTTTACCGTAGTGTGTATCGTAGTCGAGAGGCCGTTCTGTACGGGTATATTTATTTTCGAGCGCGAACCATAGACGATTAATCAGCCAACGCGTTCTCGGCGTAGTATGTCCACGATGAATCCCGAATAGTGAGTAAACTTTCTTTTGCGCAGACATAAGTGCATTGGATTCGCCGCTACGCGTCTGCTGAACGACTATATGAATATTTTCGCGACAAAAAACGATCATTTCTTCATCGCTCTGCAAAGCATGTCCGTCCGATCGAGGCAGAAGAAATATTCTTTAAATCTTCACGTCTGACAGATTCAGAGATTCTCTCCCCTTCCAGTCTCCCCTCTTTCTGCCCGTGAAACATGGCATACTCTTGTATCATAGTCCACATTTCATTATTTTGCAGTTACATTTTCCCTGTACGCGCGCGCGTCTTACAATATCGACCTTGATTCTTTTTTTTGACAGTAGACGACTGCAAACAATTAACAGTTCTAAAATGCAACTTTATAGTTTTGGAGATCTAATTTGTGAAATGCTTTCTTTAATTGTGTTGTATTTTGTATCCGCATTTTGATTTCAAAATATTTATAAAATAGAAATAGAGTTAATTGTTTTTCCTCCCTATCACTTGTTTACAAATTTGCAATACAATAATCTGAAACTTTTTTTTTTCCAGCGATTATCTGTTCAAATTGCTTCTAATTGGAGATTCTGGTGTCGGGAAGTCGTGTCTCTTGCTACGTTTTGCTGATGACACATATACAGAAAGTTACATCAGCACCATTGGTGTAGATTTTAAGATCCGAACCATCGATCTAGATGGAAAGACGATAAAACTACAAATCTGGGATACAGCGGGTCAAGAACGGTTCAGGACAATCACGAGTTCTTATTATCGAGGTGCACATGGTATTATTGTTGTTTATGACTGCACAGATCAGGAGACTTTTAACAACGTTAAACAGTGGTTGGAGGAAATTGATCGTTATGCCTGTGATAACGTCAATAAACTATTAGTTGGCAATAAATGTGATTTGCACACTAAAAAAGTAGTTGACTACACGACAGCTAAGGTAAACTACACATACTTCTTTCAATGTTGTACAATTTTATTTTATTTATAACAATTTTATTATATTTTTATACCTTGTCATAAACAGGAATATGCGGATCAACTTGGTATACCATTCTTGGAAACGTCGGCGAAAAATGCGATGAATGTAGAGCAAGCTTTTATGACAATGGCTGCTGAAATAAAACTTAGAGTGGGCCCACCGTCGAGTGGAGCGAGTGATCCAGCCAACAAGGTGAAAATAGAGCATGGGCGTCCAATTGAATCGTCTAAATCTGGATGCTGCTGAGAACTGCAATCTTGTGTCTCATTTAACCAAAGTGAGTAAAACAAAAAGTTAACAAACCCAATAAATTTAAGCACAAATATGAATTATTAAACAACGAAACAATCGCAATCTTTTTTACAGAACATCTAATGGTTGCGGTCCAAGTACTGCAAAATTAATCTTATTATCTGGAAGCATAAGAACATACATGGAAGTTTCAGTTTTCACCAACAAAAAAAAGAAAAGAAAAGAAATATTTAACACTCATGGACCATTAACTCTTTCTAAAGAGTTATACAAAAGTCTCTTGTCCGCCTGCCCTTTTCTGTTTTTTTGTAACTTTCTTTCCAAAGAAGAAAAGATGCAATTAGTCAACGCCATTTTCTAGTATCGAGTTCGACTTTAGGTAAATTCTGCGAATTAGCATCGATAACGTCAAGCGCGAGTGTAGGCGTGCGTGTAACAAGGGGCAACTCGAGTCTTGAGAAGTAAATTGAATAATATTGTGTATGGTGGTTATAAAGATAAGCACTTGAATTTCTTTTTTTTAGCCTAATTGTAATATGTACAATGGAGTATGCGTTTGGCCCTATATAAAATGGAGCCGTTTCTATTCCTCTATACTATAATCCAAAACTATTTTCTCATTTTTCTTTTGTTCCACTCTCAATTTCTCCCGCAGTACGCGCAGACTTTTAGGTCAGTTTTTTTTTTTCTTAGTGAGGATTCTACGAGGCGATGCGCCACCTTTTTTCTCACAGCTCATTAGTGTAATTTAATAACATATTAATAAATATTTCATCACTAATCGTCTCTCGGAACGCATACATAGCATACCTCTATATATGTTAGGCATACATGTGCAATGTATTCGAAAAGTATTCGTTCGCGTTTAAGAACGTGTGCCAAGTCGAAAGAAAGTGGCACCTTCGTTCGTGTCTTCTCGAACTCCATCATTGGATCTCCGTCATCCTTTTTTATGATAATCTAAATGCGATCCGAGAATCAATAGGAAAAGGTCTACAAGAGTTCCAGGCTTTGATAAATCGAGTAGAAAAACGGGAATATTTTATACGTGTTAAGATATTACAGTTACATTTAATCCAAATCGTATCTTTGTATCGTGAAAGAAAACTATTGTGACGGGCATACGAAGAAACGACACTCGAAATTATAAATATAGTAACTGTAATTATATATAAAATATCAAAAGAATAAACAACCATCTAAACAAAAATCATTTCTTAAACTTTGTAGCGTTCCGAGATATTGTTGTAAAAATGTTTAATAGGTCATAGCTGTTGCATATGTTGCGTGTACACGTGCGCATGTAATACGTGAGCTTGCCACGTGTTCACAGTTCTGACACACCTGAAAAATCAATCGGAGAAATTACGTTGACGTTATGTTCGATGCGCAGCGGCGCGTGTCCATCTGGTAACCGAATAACCATATATAATATAGTTCCAGGACTAACCGACGATTTACATCAAGATTTATTATTCCACAGATTTTATGTTATATCGAGAGAGAGAGAGAGATATCTTTAAAATAAAATTTCATACATAATTCGTTAAGAATTTCGTTGAGAATTTAAAAAACATATTTCACAAAATTTTTAGAACAATATAAAATGTTATTTCATAAATTAAGTGTATACATGTGTGACACATAAAATACATATCAGATATATAATTTACATTCTCTAGACATAAATTGTAGGCTATTATAATTTAAATGTAAACATCCAATTCACTAGATAGAAGGCTATTTGTCTATCTTTTAGGATCTTTTTTTATAAACTTTACCTGCTCGCCGAGGAGATAAACTGCAGACAACAATGAAAGCAGGTGAAAAGTGAGTTGGTGTTTTGTCGTTATCACACTTTTCACATGTGTAATGTTAATTTTATTCGCTTAATATAGCATTTAATATACTTTATACACATTATATTAGAATAAGTGAGACTAACAAAGAAAAAAAAAATTAGCTTCCAATAAACACTTAGTGTACATCTAACAATAAGCATGAGCTGTAAAATCAATGACGTGGTTAATGACTCACGCAAACGCGCGAGAAATTCACTTGAAGAGATTTGTTTCTCCATCTTCCAATACTTGCCGACACTGTTCAACACTGTATCCGCATCGCACACAGTGATATGCGGTAATGTCAACTGTGGCCGTGTCTCTTACGATTCGCAAATCGCAAGTTTAAATGAATTTAAATGTAGTTGCGTTATATTAAATGCAAATATTAATTTACAATAGAATAAATAACGATGATCATTCCGTTCACTCAATTTTTGTGTCTTATGGACTGATTGTGACATAACCTAACCTAATTTTACCATCACACGATCGGCAAGTAGAAATCGCTTCAAAATGATGCAACAATATATGAAGGAGCTGGAACAGGTTTAAATTTTTTGCAAACTGTTCGCTTATTTATTTCATTATGCAATCAATATTTTAATTATGCACAAATGTATATTAAAATACATTTTAATATAATAATCATCTATCGCGTATTGCTATACTTGGTCGATTTGTCAATAATTTCAGTAGATTTAAATTTATGCCGCAAGATTTAGAATTATATGCTTTTTTGTAATATTATCTTTATATTATTTATAATGCTTATATAATTTTGTATTAAGAAATAAATATTTGAAAACAAATTATAACCTGCTTTACAGGATCCATTTGATCCTGAAGAATTTGTTGAACGACTGGCTTGGAGAACTGTCAACGATAATACGAAAGATGGAGGAAAGACATTTTTCGATCCAGTTATCGTCCATGAGACCTTTTTGCAGGCAATCAAGGATTTACAGATACTGCAAGAACGTCAGCAAAAGAAATGCGACAAATTGGAATCTGCACTGAAGGAAGAGGAAGCTCGACATACATTCGAGATATTTGAATTACAAGAGAGAAACAGACACTCTATCGAGTTATTTCATCAATTAGATGAGAGAATAAATCTTGTAGCTACCAAAGTCTTGCATTTGGGAGATCAATTGGAAAGTGTCAATACGCCAAGAGCGAGAGCAGTAGAGGCACAAAAGTTAATGAAGCACTTTTCAGAATTTTTAAGCCCTGGTCCATTAACAGATCCAATTTTCACAGATAAATCCTCGGTAAAGATAACAAACTGATTAAACAAGAGCAAAATAATAAATGTTTAATTCATTGTTGTTTGTTGCAGCTGAACGATGCTGCAGATGTGATACAAAAGCTTCATCTCATAGCCCAAGAACTTCCTTCTGAAAAATTCGAACACGCCAAGAAGAAGATCAGCGTTAAATATGATGAAATAGAGCGGAATCTGATAGAGGAATTTGTGAGCGCGCATAACAGAGAAGATGCGTCGCGCATGAGGGAATTGGCGAGCACCTTGGCTCATTTCAAAGGCTACTCTCAGTGCATCGACGCGTTCATAGAACAGAGTCAAATGGGTTCGTTCGGCGGAAAAGACGTCTTTCAAGATGTTATACCTATGTGTACAAAATACCACAAGCTCATGCAACAGGTGTTTTTCAATCCTGAGCAAGTGATGGCCAAATTTGTCTTGAACATTTATCATTTGCGTCTGCAAAAGTATGCGGTAGCTAAATTAGCGGATAAAACCGACGCTGATAAGTATCTGAAAAACTTGTACGATCTGTATACGAGGACGGTCAAGCTGTCTACTAATTTGAAAGTCTTCGATATGGGCACCGATGATACTTATCTCGCGAAACTCACTAGAAATATTTTTCAAAAATATCTGGATACATACATTACGTAAGTTTGTAACTTGAATAGTCCGGAAATCACGGTTAATAATTATTTACTATTTATCATTTTAGTATTGAAACAAAGGCGTTCCGGGAAAAATCAGCGGCCCTGCTCATCGAATATTACGAGTCTAAGAATCATCAGAAGAAGCAGCTGCAAACTGGCGGCTTCCAAGAATTGCGTAGAGACTTGCAAGCTGTATTAGGTGCGAGAACGAATATAAACATTGCTCAAATAGAAGACTATGGAGGCGAGACGTTTCTATCGGAAGAGCTGGCGATCGCGATATTACAAAGGAGCAAGCTCGCGTTTCAAAGATGTCAGTTACTCTCACAATCCGTCGACGTACCTGGAAACGCACTCCAAATTTTCGAGATACTGTTGCAATATCTGATAAGCGAACACGTAGACTACGCACTGGAATTAGGTTTACAAAGTGTACCGATACCAGAGAGCAGGATTCAACCGGAAATCCATTTCTTCAACGTGGTGCATCAATGCAATGCGATTGTTCGACTTTTGGAAGAGCAATTCAACGACAGTGTTCTGCCTCTTGTTTTGTATGTTCTTTATTTGTCTAAATGCACTTTTATACACAATGACACGATTTTAAAACAATATTTCTTTTTTATCCAGATCGACACCAAAACACGCCGACTGTTTGTTGAAGAAAAAAGCGATATTGGAGCAAATTGATGTCAAGTTGGATACTGGCTTGGACAGAAGTATAAACGCTATTGTAGGCTGGGTGAAAGTGTATCTGCAAAGCGAACAAAGGAAAACGGATTTTAAGCCGGAAACCGATGTGGATACTGTGAACACTCCTGCTTGTTTGGTAGTAGTTCAGTACGTGAACGGAATGATACGAATGATACGAAATACTTTGGACGGCAGACATTTGGATACCGCTCTGAAGGAACTGGGTATCAGATTCCATAAAGTCATTTATGATCACTTGCAGCAATTTCAATTTAATTCCGCTGGTGCGATGTGCGCGATATGCGATATGAACGAATATCGCAAGTGCATCAAGGAACTCGAAATTGAATTTGTTACAAATCTCTTCGACACCTTGCATGCCCTGTGTAATTTGCTACTGGTCAAGCCAGAAAATCTGAAACAAGTCTGCACAGGAGAGCAACTGGTACGTTGCATTGAATTGTTTTCACAAACGATATATGTTTTTAGAAAGTTATATATTATTTCTTAAATTGCAGATGACACTGGATCGCGCCGTTTTACTTAATTTTATTCAATTAAGAACCGATTACAAGACGCAGAAGTTAGCCAATTGTTTAAAGGGTCTAGCGACATGATGACACATTCTACTTACATAAAACAAAAATACTTAGGCTCAGCCTTTCTTCACATTATAAATGATGCAAGTTAATGTTAAATACACAAAATTAGCCGCTGAAATTGTATTTATATCCGTTTAAATATATTAAGATTTTCGCCATTAGGCTCGTTCACATTGTCATGCACATAAAGAGAATTTGTGGAAACCAACACTCTTAAAAACATCCATTCTATTCGTTACTTCTTGACAAATTGTAATAATTGTGTATATATGATAAAAAGACATACAATAATTAGTAGAGATCCGCACTAAATTTTTAAAATAAAACATCCAATCCAATATTTTTTGTTTTGCGAATTTTAATAGCATCATTTAAGCAAAATCCAGTAATACAAATAATTTTGACAAAGAATTTTGGCGCACATTCATTTTATTATATTTCAAAGATCATAGTTACAAATAGTTCCTTTCGATATTAAGATAAAACATCGGTAACATGCATCCCATGTTTAATGCTTACAAGTTTATTTTTTATTATTTCTATTTTATTTTATTTTTTTTTAACTAATTGCTCCAAAAATTGTGCGCAAAAATTCATTTGCTCGTTTTTGTTATTTATTACGTTATCTCGTCATTTGTTCGAATTTAGTGTTATAAATATGACTGATTATCCAGATTTGCACGTTCATAGAAGATAATATCTATAAAAGTTACATTAAATGTCTAATCAGGAAGCATTATCTCATACTTTCTAAAATCAAAGATCTGCAATGTTGTTAAACAAAGCTCACATACCATTATCAATATATGTATCGTGCCATTTAAACGCGATTCCATAATAAGTAAGGAGTCGACTCCTGGTTTGATTAAATGGTTCTTCATGAGCTATGAAAAAGGGGGGAGAGAGGGTACACAATCCACCGAATATCAGCGCATACGGTAGTTATTAGTTTCGTGTACTTGGCACAACTCTCCTTTAAAGTCCAACTCGATACTGAAATCCAGATCTCTGTAATTCCTAGCATTCGGCCTCATCGAGAATACACCATATATTTCTTCTCCCTTCTTCACCGTCATGTATTCATCGAAATAAAAGACAGTTTGCTTCCAATGCGTGTATGGCACTTCCGGTGCAGTACTGAAGCCAATACGCTTGTGGCACTTGGTGAATTCGATGTTGAAGAATGTAACTAGCGCTTGAACATAGTCGTTTCTACGAACTTGCAGAGTAAACGGTGATGAGAACTCGAGTTCGGCTTTCGTCACTGTATAAAGATCAACCTCCTTGATTAGGCATGCATTTGTGACAACTTGCTTTGGATCTACGACATCCACTAGTGGCTCGCTAATCGCCACTTTCCTTATGCTACTCATGTCAAATCCATAGACATCGTCCCACCAATTGATTTTCTCATCTTTGTATTGTCTATCTTCGATTCCGCAAATAAATAGAGTTGCTTTATCAGGGAAGAGCATACCATCCTCACGAAGCCACTTGTCTCTTGCAAACAGTACTGTGTCTAACATTGATTCGTAAAACAAACAGTAACCCATCCACTCTGATATTATTATATCGACTTTTTCGATTCCATCGGGCAATGAAACCTCTTCGACTTTTCCTTTAAGTATTGTTATAATATTGGACAGATTGTTTGCCTCTACTATTTTTTCCGCATATTCAACAATATTCGAGCACTCGATACCAATGACTTTTGCTGCACCAGCTTTAGCTGCAAACATCGAGAGAATACCAGTACCGCAGCCAATATCAAGGACTATCTTGCCTTTGAAAAGATGCTTGTTATGATACATTGAGTTACGATACGTCACAGTGCGTACTTCGTCCTTCAGCATCTCTTCATGTATTCCATAGTGGGCATAGGAATCAAAATAGTAATCTCTTGAAGTCATATCATCAACAGACACAGACTCCCTGCAGGATGATGTGCTGACATCTCTGTTGACAGTAGTAGGTTCTGTCGCTATATCCATGGATTCCATTTTTGATGCCTGTAACATTTGTGTATCATATTAGAAAAGAAATAAAACATTAAATAAGCTATTTAAATTACATTTTTCTTTAGTCTGATTAATAAATTTCAACTGTGAAAATTGCAACATTGTAATTAAAATTCAAAATATTCGCAATCTATGAATTAATGAAACCTTGTTTTATAAGACTATATATCCTCTATATTGCTCAATTATTTATATATATAAATATAACATTTAATTTTATTACGAAAAAATAATAATTTTATAAGAAGTTTTGGATATAAATTATCGTATAAACGCATAAAACGCTACACAGAGTCTAGCGATGTAACCATATTTTTACAAGATTGATATAACGGAAAAAATAATAGAGAAAAATTTACAATGGTATTCATGAGTGCCAATAGAAAACGGTCTTAGTCTGACGAGTCCACACGTATGCCGGCAAACGAGAAACACTACACACGTGCCCGCCAAAATGAATGGCGTCTCTTTGTACGATCGAATAACTAGTCGATAGTATATTGTTTGCATGCGCTGTATCACTTCCGCCGTCTATATATTCGAGCCGCGACTGCGAATCTTTACACCTCAATAATCACCGATTTGCTTTTTCGTACATTCGATATGCATGTCCCGAAATCAATTCTTGTAAAATGTATCACGTTTTCACGACAACGCTCTTACCATGCCTGATTTTAATTCGCGTATTATATATACTTCACGACGAGACTACATATATCGGTCACACAAAGTTCGACGTTTCTTAGCTGTTTTATACCTTAATAGCACACGCCTGCAGACTTCGAATCATATCGACACTATTAGCAGTAGCTCTTTCGAAATCGGCCGTCCTATCGTCTTAACGATCTAATTGGTAAAACTCACCGAATTTTCCATGGTACACATGCGACTCTGCGTGATATCTACCGGCACTTCATTACTCGTCGCCATTTTGCCTGCGTCACAGCAGACGACTGGACAGAATATCAGGTCTGTCATTTCACCACTTTCTTGGGGCGATTATTGTCATTCAGTACGCTGCACGTACAAATCTCGTTTTTTTTATAAAATTACCCATATTATACAAATTTTATTTTTACTTTCATAATTACAAAATAAAATGTTATTGATGTAATCTGTAAGGCTAGAGTCTCATATGATTTTTTGCGTAAAACCAAAAGCATCAGACTATGCAATTTTTCATGCAATTTATTGCAGTGACTTAATTGCCGCAACATACTAGTGTAGTAATTATTTTTGTGACATATTACACTACATGCAACTAAATTAACATTTTGAACAAGTTTTAGATGAAACTAAACTATTGTCAATTACAAAACATTCAGCTCTATAACATATTTGAAAGAGCATTTTCACAAGAGCCAATGCGTAGTTTTTGATACAAGAATAGGTATAGTAGTTGGGGGACGTCTATCTCCTTTTACATTTACTGTTAATAAAAACGTTTAGGCCGGAACACAGACTTTTACATAAAGCATAATGCAAAGAGAATCAACCAATCAAAGTCCATCATTTCCATCCCCACTTCTCATTCTGCGGATCTCTGATTGGTTGATTTCCCTTAAGCCCGTATCAGACTACGCATTAATAATCAAAGATTGAAAATTTGATCAATCGAAACAAAAGAAACTAAAAATTCTTTGTCTTAGGGCCACTTTTTCCAACGTCGGTTAAGTCTAACTGTTAACTTTTCAGAATAATCAACTTAAAACTCGAAACTTGTACATGTCGTCAAACCTAAAATTTCAGTGTATTGATAAAAAATGTATAGAAATTGATTGTAAAAAAAGATTTTGCAATAATAACTATATTATTATATTATATATAATGGCTGCGTTCCGTAAAATGCATATGCGCGCAAGTATCTATAGTAAACGTAACGTATACTAAGGATACATGCGCACATATGCGCTTTACGGAACGCAGCCAATATTTAGCTTATGAAAGAAATTTTCTCTTTTAATTGCAATATTTCATTCTTTATGTTGGCAATTTGTAACGTTGGTTAAAGTTAACCGACGTTGGAAAAAGTGGCCGAGTTAGGGTGCCGTCACATACAGCCCGTAAGGGTGCTGTCCCATGACAAACAGAACTTCGGAAAAGTACTAGAGAGATATCAACCAATCAGAATCATGTAAGATTCCGACTTTTTCGTTGGTTGGGTTTCCCCTGGAGTGACTTTTACGGAAAACGGAACGGTATTCTAACCTCAAATTATCTTTTAATTTAGAAAATGTCTTGATTATTTTATATTATAATGAAAAATATATGTAAATTTTATTTCTTTATGTATTTTTTTATAATAATAATTTTTTTTTTTTAAACAATAACAATAAATTTTTTAATTTTACAGAATTCCGGAAATATATTAATGCATGAGGAACCCAACAATAAAAATTCCGTACCGACTTGTGACGTCCAACGTAACACACACAAACACACACACACAAACACACACACACACAACACACACACACACACACACACAAGCACGACTAAAATTTTAAACTTTATTTTTTTA